GGGGGGGGGGGGGGGGGGACTTACCCAAGTATCCCCGGGTTTTCCGCCGAGTCGTCACCGCTTCGGGGTAATTTGGGGGGGGGCTGGGGACATATACCCATGTATCCCCGGGTTTTCTGCCGAGGCATCGGTGCTCGGCGTCCCGCTCTCGTTTGGTGTGCATCAACGCTGGCGCTGTGGAGCTGTGGAGACCCCCGAGAGATGACAGGCACCCCGCACACTACAGGGTCGCCTTCGCAATTTTCGCATGCATATCCCCACGAGAATCGAGGAGCAGCCGCTAAAGCCCGCCAGTCGCCCGTGTGGCCGATTGGCCAAGCCAAACGTAGTAACCCTACAAGACCAAGGCTACGAGTAGATTTGCGAGATTGTGTTCCCTGTTGTGCAGTGCTAGAGACGGCAAGGGCAACTTCGCAAGGCAGGTGGTTCAATGTGAAAGCTGGTCAATGAACATTCCAATTGAATTGGACTGATTTCTTCGAGCTTTGATCGATACTTTGCATACTGACTGTACTTTCTTCGAGTTATCAGGCGCTACGCGAACTAGCCTGCTTGTTTCCGTGTGTTCCTGTAGTAGCACGGCTGGGTGAGGGCGGGCCGGCATCGATGACGAGGAGATAGATGCAGAACGGGTAACGAGAGTGAGGCATTGTTTGTCATGCATCTGCTGTTTACCTCAGTATATTTTTGACGATTCACGGTATAGGTAACTGTGTGGAGGACACCTGTCGGAATATAGTCTACGTAAAACCAACGATTTGTGCACATAAAACGAAAGCACCGAGAAGATTTGTCTCTTCCGAAGTCCATGGCCGCTTGCCGAGGAGGGAAGAGATGGGGGAGCCTCCGGCTCGCCCCTCTCGACCCTCTGGTCACTCTTTCTCTACCTCTCTCCTCGTTACATCTCACGAAAGGAAATAGCCACCCTTGGGAGTGGGAGAATACTGCAAGAGCACCGGCCTCTGTCTCTGACGGGGACTAGTGTCCTCAACTGTTCGACTTTCTTCCCCGTCCGGGGGGGGGGGGGCTGTGTGTACGGATATTTTTTCCGCATGTACCCTTGGTACACGTGGTCATTTCATCACCAAGTCCCTTTTCGTAGACTACATAGATGGTGTGCCATGTCTTGTTGCTGGAGGCAACCCAACAGAACCACAGTTTGTTGCAGAAGATTGGTGTCTTCGCAGAACCAGCACAAGGATGATCGTCATCCAGATTTCGTGATAAGCCCCGTACATAGAATAAGACACATTGTCGCGGTCACCGGAAGTCAAACTTGAAAACCTCTTCGGAGATCGACCATGTGATGCCGCATGGGAATTCCTCGATCAAACTTGGTGGCCCAAACTTTTACAGTCGCGTCAGCACTCCCGAGGCGAACTTGCACCAACATCAAAACCAGCAACGAACGAATGCCGCCGCTGTCCTGAGGTGCTCAACAGGAGTTCCGTGAGAGCAGGCCTGCCCACCTCTTGGGGCGACTCTCCGCAAGCGAGCAATAACATTTCCACGATGAGGCTCAAGATCAACCACTAGCTTCTTTCTTCTCTTTCATATCTAACTTTCCTGCCCCGAGAGTTGGCCCGACAAAGTGACAGCCGTAGTCATGACTCTGCTGCGCGAAAAAAATCAGTGTGCATAATCACGGGCTGGCGCCTCAAACATGAACCGAAAGGTATGCGCTGCTGGCCAGAGCAGATGGGACCCACCAAAACCAAATAACAAGACGTTCCTTCCCCCGTCGGCGGCGCAACCTACGCCGCTGGTGGGTACGCCTCCCTCGCACTCGCGGTTTTCGAGCCCGCGCTGCGTACAACAACGGCCGATCTCTTACTTCCATGCGTTGGGCGACACAATGCTCATAGCTGGTGTTGGGCAGTGTTCAAAACATACATGCATGCCGTTGTGTACCACAACTCCGCCTTTCTACAACTACATGTACTACGCTCGTGCTCCGCTCCACGGGGGCCGGCCGACCATGCGTGTTCTAACCAAGAGTACGGCGGCGACAGAGGGTCGTTCCATGACTGCGACAGTTCAACAACACCGACCAACCCCCAACCGAAGGCGAGTGAACAACCCGCCCTCACCTACCTACAACACACGCAAACCATGGTTGAGGTCGAGGGGACGGTACGACTGCTGCAGAGGCAAGGGCCTGCGGCCATCACCGCGAGCTGCCGACGTAGTCGTAGTCGAAGTCCTCTTCCTCATCGCCGCCCCCTCTACCGGGTCCTCCCTCTTCCCTCTCCTCAGCGAAATCGAACTGCGACCTCCTGGGGTGCGCCTCCGGCCTTGGCGTTGGCGGCGCGAGGTTCTTCGCGAGCGACTTGGTCCCAATGGAGCGCCGCTTGCCCAGCGTCTGCCCGATGAGCGACTTGCGCATCCTGTCGTGGCGGCGGGTGGTGCCGTCTACCGACACCCGCTGGCTACCGCCGGCGATGCCGGCGCCGCTAGGACCGCCGGCTTTCCCGAACGAGCCGCGACGGCCGCCGGAGTTGCGCGACCGCCTTGTGTTTGGGAAGCGTACGAGTGGTACGTACGTGTTATCGAGGGTTACAATGCGGTTGAACGATATGTATGTCATGAGCGGCGGCGACAGCTGCACGCGAGAATGGGATCTAGACGCGCCAGTAGCACACGAGGACACGCAAGAATGAATACGGCAGCAAGAGGGAACGAAAACAAACCATGTCTACATAAGCGAAACCGCAAAGAGAGCAACAACGACGGCTGTCCCGCCACGTTCTTGTGCCTGGCTTGTAGCGACCGGCTACACAACTTCGTCGAAGTTGCAAGCGAGTGCGACGAAAGCAGAGGGAAGACAAGGCCGAAACACAGCAAAACAGTGGTGCAACAACTGAACAATGTCAGCACATCCCCTTCGACCGTGGGATTATCTCGAACGGGTATAGTCTTTCAGTGATTGTACATGTACAAAAATTGACAACTTCCAACAAAGGCAAGCGAAACTAAAACTACGAGCGCTGCATCCGCCCAGCCACACGCACGCTAATCAACGAGCCTTGTGGATGAAAAACATGCTCCTGTGGTCCAACAACCCCGCCAGAGTAATCAACCTCTTTGGCAGAGCTCCGGGAATTCACGTTACAGCAGGCAGGTGCCTGCCGATACACGCGTCGCGTTCGCAACCAATTGACTCCGTCCGCTGAACGTGCGCACTTGTGACACCATCACAGGGACACCTATCCCCTCGCGCGTACCTGGCCGCTGTCCCTCGAAGCCCCGCCGACTTTCGCAGAGGCCCCAGGTCGTCGTCGCCGGCGTCCAGGTCGCTGCCAAAGACGCTGTCCTCCTCGGAGGACGACGTCGACCCGTCTTCATCGTCGTCGTCGTCGTCGTCGTCGTCGTCGCTGCCTCCTACCTCCGAACCCTCCTCGGCGCTGGAGACCTCGTCCTCGTCCTCGTCCTCTTCTTCGTCCACCTGGTCTTCGATCTCTCCTGAATTAAGGGCAGCGACGTCGCATGGTTTTTTGTCTCCTCACGGCAGACACGTACGTACGATATATGGTAGACTACATCGCGAGGCGTCGTCCCCGGCTCGGGTTGAGATTCGCGCCTCTACCGATGAACGAACGCCCTACACGGGGTGGATAGAAACAAGTACATGGTGGTTTGAAAGAGCGAAGCCCGTGGACAGGTGGGTTCGAGTTCGGCAGGCAGCAGTGACAACACACTAATGTATGTACGGTGTAACGAGGGGGGGGCAAGGAGGTTGTGGTTCGAGCACATGGAGGGCCGAGGTAATACCCCCACTTCCTTCCTCTGTCTCCGTCCGTCTGCCTGCCTCTGTGCGTTGTTTCCCCCCCCCTCTCTCTTACCCTCATTCACCCCCGCAAACACCCCCGGTGCAACTCACCCATAGCTTTGCTGCCTTTATTGCGCTTCTTGCGCTTGAGCTTCGAGTCCCCCCCTCCCTCGTTCTGCTCATCCATGGAGAACATGTCCGACTGTTGCCGTATGGGCGCGGAGCGCGAGGCTTTCTTGGCCGAATCGTTGCCTCCGCCGACGGACGACTGCTGCCTGAGAGTCGGTTGCCGCCTCCCACCGCCCTCGCGTCTTGCAGCTGTGCGTCGTCGCCGCTACAGTAGCACGGCGAACCGAAAGCATTCCAAGTTTGATTTTCGGCAGGCGGGGGGGGGGGGGGGGGGGGGGG